ATATCTCTCATGAAAAACTAGAGTTCTCTGATGAAGTAACAGGAAATCCCTGAGGCTAAACTAGATTGGGTTTATGTCACCTCCTCTCGTAGACATGTTTTTATAGTGCTGTCTAAATAAGTATTATGTGTGTAGAAGAAATGATGTAATATGGAGCAATGCTCGAAGAGATGCATGTCAGTGGTTCATGTGGAAAGTATTTTTCGTAAATATTTATTTTATAGTTTATGAATATTCTCAGTTTGGCTGGATCTTACTTCATAGTTCAACCATCAACTACATGGATATTAAATATTGTGTTTTCCTTGTTAGGTGTACATTTTCAAGTTTGTCTTGATAGACATCCTACTAGAGTACTAAGGAAATCGGAAGGGTGGATATAAAGTTATTAGCCTGGGCCAAGATTTATTATCTTGCATGATTTAATTTGTTGATTCTTGGCCAGATCACTATTTTATATCGTCTACTTCACTGTCTAGCCATATAACACTTTAGTTCTTTTCCTCTTGATATTACCGGATTTTCACGTATATAAAACAGCATAGAGCTTCTATCTATCTATCTATCTATCTATCTATCTATCTATCTATCTATCTATCTATCTCTCTATCTATCTATCTCTCTATCTATCTATCTATCTCTCTATCTATCTCTCTATCTATCTATCTATCTATCTATCTATCTATCTCTCTCTCTCTCTATCTATCTATCTCTCTATCTATCTATCTATGTATCTCTCTCTCTCTCTATCTCTCTCTATCTATAATTAGTTTTACAAATCAATGTGATGTATAATGGTTAAACAGACTCTATAACCTACAGTTAATACAAATTGCTACATTTTGACCTGTCTGTTTATAGAGAAGCCTTCATACTAATCTGATGCTAAACAAACAGAAAGATCTCACCTCCGCCTCTGGTGCTCTAAGTGTAGGTGTTGTGCCTACATACAACTTTTGTTTTGTGACACTACGATTTTCAAAGGTCAACTTGTTCCAGCAGCAAAGCACAGTAATAATATGAGTAGGTAGAAGAGCATTCAAAGCTGCGTGTGGCTGAGACTATTACTACTAACTTGCCATCATAAATATTTCACTTATGCTAACTTAGCGCTGTTTTCCATGTAAAAAAGAAGACAATTGCCCAGAAGTCACAATGGGAATATTGCTAGTACACATTATACACTGACACTAATGTGTGAATTTATTCTTATTTACAGAGAACATTGATTTTTATTTATTTATTTTTTAGAAAAAGTGTAAATTTTCCAAAAACTATATAAATAAAAGCATTTTTGGGGGGAGGGGAGGGGTGTATAATTTATTTGCTATTAGATGGAAGCTCGCCTAAAGAGACAGAGAGGGGCATTTTTCTAAACCCCTACATACTTTTTAACCCTTAATAGGAAACACATGGGGTGGCCGCCCAGGAGTAGTGGGAGTTTGAGTGAAGGACTTATTAGTATCCTTGTATTTACTTTTGTATCACACAGCCATGGTAAAATGTTGACCCCCCACTCCATGAGTTCCCTATTGCGGGTTAATAAGTATGTAGGAGTTTAGAAGAATACCCCTCTCTGTCTCATTAGAGATTCTAACTGAAGCTGAAGGAAGCAAAGTGAATTGTTAGTGTAAGACTTACCTAAAACGTTTGCCTAGATGTGGCAGGTGAGCTTCCATCTAACGACCATAGGAGTGATACTAAAAACCTCCAGTTATTTAAATATGCATAGGGATTTGGGATAGTGCGCAAGCAATTCTTTTCTTTGGTTTTTATTGTATGCACTGAGGCTGATATATACTATGCTGCCGTCCGTGGTCCGGGAGTTTGAACGTAGGACTTATCTTTGTATATATATATATATATATATTGGAATTGTATACATAATTTTAGGTATGTATTGCAGAACCTATTAAGTGATGGCAAGTTCCCCTTGTTCTCTTTCGGCAGGTTTAATTCATCATTCATCTGAACAGATTGCTGACCTATGATGAGCACTATGATATAAAATGTATTGTAGGCACTTAATGGGCTGATACATATTACATATTAGCTTATTTAACTGAGTATATACTTTTGTGGATTTATAGATATTTGTAAAAACAAGCAAACATACATTAGTCCCCTGATTTGATTTTAGTGAATATCTGAATTCATATTTCAGATCAAATTCATGGATTTTCCCTGAATGTCTTATTTAGTCCTTAGCATTTGATCCTATTTGTGTTCTTAGAATAGAAAATGTATAAAGGACACAGCTACAATCCTCCTTCACAATTGCGATCTTAGTGGGGCGACCTAACGGGTACATTAACCCTGGGATGAATAATTTCAAAGATTTCATTAATGTAATGTAATAAATTAAATTAGTTACTACAGTAGAGATATGATAAAGGTTTCTCTATATTAATAGCTTTATGTTAGTCTGGGTAAATTAAACTTTATTAAAACATACCTCTTTAAAATGTGTTTGCTGAGCAGTACAGTAAAACTGCCTGACATCAGCCATCTGCTTCAGATATGTATTTATTTTAGCATTTGCTACCAAGAGCATCTAATTGTGAATATCAATAGAATCATAAAGCTGAAATGGTTTATTTTTACAGCCCATAAAAATCTAATCTAAAATTCCATCCAGATTATTGATACTTGATTTCCAACGCACATATAAAATCATCAAAATAAAAATAGAAAAATAATCAGTGGGAAGCAGATCTTTTTCTTTTTTAATGCACGTTATAATACAATTTGAAGTTAACCACAAGCAAAAAAAATAAAAATATATATATATATATATATTTGTGTGTGCGTGTTTTAATAAGGGCATACTCCTGTTGTGAGATATAGATGGGTGTATTCATTCAAACCTATAGGTGCAGTTAGTTTGTTAAAACAAAACAAGAAAATTGGGAAACATTACCTGCTCAACTTTTTGCTAGGGGCTATTGCAGTTGCTTTCTCTAAATCCGGCCCTGCTTGGTTTCAACCAGCTTGGGTAAACACAGAAGCCATGACAAAACCAAGTATTTATTAATCCTGAGTTACTGATGAGTAACTCCTGAGGTTTTTCTATGAACTTGGTGTGGGGGTTCTCTGGATGCCTTATAAAATGGATGGATAGGAGACAAACGTAACCCCTCACACCATGTGAGATGGGGGCATTTTATCAAGTGGAGTACCACAATAACTCTCTCTTTTTTCCCCTTCAACTACGGTTCCTTAATCTCACTACTTAATAATATACAAAAGGGGGTATTAATACCAATTGAATCCCCTAAATATATTTAGATATGGGATAAGTTGACCAATAGTAAAAACTTAAAGAAATACTATAGATTTTGGAATGCAAAACTCTATAACTAACACGATAGTGTTTCTCTGCCTCTAATTCCCTCCCCCCGCTCCAGCGAACAAAGGGTTTAAAAAACGCTTTCTTTCACATACCTGGTTCAAGTGCCGATGTCCTTTTACGGTGGCCCACACTCCGGCTTCTCTGACGTCAGGCACACATTAGGCCTTCATCATTGACTCAATGCATTTCTATGGGTATTTCCATGATGCTGGAAGTCCTCTCGCAGGCTGTGAGGATGTCCAGTATCATTTCACAGAGTTAACCTCCACGTGCATCAGGAAAGCTAGACTAGAGACACTAGAGGCAGTCTTAATGCAATGTAAACATTACAGTTTTACATTGCAGAGTTAAGGGGACAAGGACACTGCACTCAGATCACCTCAATGAGCTTAAGTGGTCTGTGTGCCTACAGTGTTCATTTAAAAAAAATAGGGTTGAATGAACTAAAATAACCCATCCTGCTACTGTACCAATGGAGTGTTATAAAGCCAAATAATCTAAAAATGTTCATGGTTCTCCTGGCATAATACCGTTCATGAGATAGGAAACCTCTTGCATGTTCTTTAAAGGGTGTAAATTTGATTATATTTATACAATGTGCTATCAGAATTGTTAGTAAATGCAGGCATTGTGAGAAAACCTATTAAATGTCCCTCCCACACATGCCAATCAATTCTTTTGCACAGACCTTTACACCATCAATTCACTCAGAGAGCAGGAGAACCGTCCTATAAGCTTGGGAAGCTTCGAGTCAACGGGGACATCCGTGTGAAGTGAAGTCGGTCAATGCAGAAGCACCTCTAGTGGCTGTCAGTATGACTGCCACTATAGTTGGATGTAACCTTGCAATGTAAACATTACAGTTTCTAAAACACTGCAATTTTATTTAAATTGCTGGGTTAAAACTATAGGGACACAGCATCCAGACCACTTCATTGAGATGATGTGGTATGGGTTACTACAATGCCCCTTTAAGTCTTAACCTCCTATACAGGGTCCTATTTTTATAAGTAAAAATAGGAATTGTGTATTCTCTCATTGTGAAGATCTTTTTTTTTTATACATCCACATGCACTGGGCATTTAAAGTACAGTAGAAACATTACATGCCTACTGACATAAGATCAGCTTTTAAACCTTCGCTTATAAACTACCAAACTGTCCTGGCATTGAGGTATTGGTAGAAGATAAGGAGCTGGGTATCTGAATACGCTGTTCAAAGATGGTGTATGTTCCAAGGCATAGGGTGGAGGGAGATATCAGACAAACATAGTAGCATGTTGACATCAACAAGGTGGACAGGAGAGTTAAGTGGATTCACTTAACAAGTGCTATCGTTAAGGTTAGTATAAGACTTGAACAGTGAACAGTTTAAAGCAGTATGTATTGCAGTAGCATTCTTATCTCTCATGTTAAGATTAATATTGAACACACTGGGGTACTTTTAAATTACCCCCGCTCCAGTGGTTTGCGCATCTAGAAGTGAGTGAATTACTCCAGGCTCCACTCTGAGGATCGTGGGTGGTGGATGATCCTCGGGTCAAAGATGGGATAGCCCTGGTTGTCTAGGAAAAAACCCTCACCCCCAAGAAGGAGCCTTGTGTGTCCTGCGAGACTGAGTCTGCAGCGGATAATACATTGACATATTTTTAATCTGCATGTAGGTCTTGCCATTCGTCCTCGCCATCCGACTCGGAGGCGTCGGCCCGCCATTTATCTATGACGTCCATGGTCGGAGGATAAGTCTCATCCTCCTCTGAGGATATCACCGGTGGAGATAGCTCTGGTCCTGATAATTGTTTGCTGCATTTAGCAGGAGTCTTCCCTTTTGCCCAAGCATGTGGTCTTGTAAGTCCGGCTCTTTGGCGTTTGGTAAGCGGATGGAGGTCCTTAGAAGGAGCCTTTGAGCCCATATGCCCCGCATTGTGCGGTGTCGGTTCCCGAGTTTGGGTGGAAATTTCTTGTGGCACCTTTCATTAATATCATAGAGATAGCTTTCTCCATAGAGGCTGAGATGGCAGCTTTTATCATTGCTTGCAGTTTGTGGTTCTGTTGTTGGGAAACTGACATGGTTATTTATAAGTTGTCCTGTGGAATAAAGGACATACGTGTTAGCCCACTTGCCTACTCGAGGGCTGGTGGGTAGACCCCTTGCTCAGCGCAATAATGGGGGTAGCCTGGTATGTGGGTGAATATCTCTGTAAATCCCCACCAGTATATTCTTGTTTGTATGAGGGCTCAAATATAATGTTGGTCATGAGAGCGGCTAGTTCATAAGGGAGCGAAACCCTTGTAAAATAAGGGGAGGTGGAAAAAACTTTCAATAGCCAGAGGGGTAACTCCCAAAGTCCCCCGTTGGGGAGGTACCATTTGGACGTGGGTTTTATGTTATATATATGACCTCACATGAATCCTTAGCACTGTAGGTATTGTTACCGCTGGCAGCAATATATGCATATAGAGTAGGGGGCTCACCCCTGCGTGCAGCTGAACAAGCAGTCTGCACACCAAGCATATCATAAACATATACAGTTTGAATTATTCAGCGTAGATTGAGTACAGCAGTAGTGAATCTTTGGAATAATGATCACCTTGTATGACTCCCTTAGGTTGCTTTATAGCAGATTCTGTCAGACGGTAATTCTGTTAGATTTTGCACTCAGTGCCTGCAATGGGGAAAACAAGATGGTCACCATGAATCTCGTAATCGCGAGAGATCCAAGATGGCTGCCGCACGTGAGGCGCTGATGGGAAGAACTCCCGTGGGCCCTGGTAAGGCAAAACAAAACTTGTGTAAGTTCCCTGCCAGCCCCAGCACCGAGTATAGAGGTGAATAGGATGTGTAAATCACGCACATCCGCCAGCCGCGGTCGGCAGTAGAGACAGTAATAGTAAAGAAAGTTAATGCAAAATATGAAGCCTCCTGTCGTGGTAAAATTGAAATGCAATGGTTGACCTATGTATCCCATAATTCCCTGCTGAAAAGTGAATGTCTAATGGAATACTGTTGTCAATCACCAGGGTACTTATGGATCAAAGTTCTATCCCTCAACAGCTCTAAAATCTCCAAATCACAGAGGGGAGAATAGACTGTTCCACCATGGCAGGAAATGAATTGCCTCAATCTTCAAAGAACTCACGGTGTTGAAGTAACAATGTGTTGAATTTGACTATTACTATTTCTAGGTTAAATGTATTGCCAAATGTATGTACAAATAACATACAATGCTTTAAAATCTTGTCCACGTATCCAAATATAGTGAATAAATTTGAATAGAATGTTAACATAGCAGTCACATGATTCTTAGATTATTTTTCATTCTTCTTATGTGAAGGATAAAACATAATCAGTATTTCATCCTCTCATGCCTTTCATGCTGAAACCTACCTACTGATAAAAATACTGATAAAAAGATGTGTATTCAAATTCATGCTAAAATAGCCAAACTGGGATTATTTTTGCCTACTAAAATGGATCTGTGTGGAAACAGGACTACACAAGCACACAGAATGCAGTGGCTATGGTTGCCATGTTGTTCAAATTGACTTTAAGCTGGCTGTGCATCAAAGGAACTGTAGTTCATAAATATCTGGGGTTCCACTGCTAAGGTAATCCATAATTATATAGGACACAATATATGAAAATGGATGGTGTCCCTTAAGCTTAATGCTCTTATATTAAAAGGATTTTATGAAACATAGGTCCCGATTTTTTGTTTTACTCAATATGGTATAAAATAAATTTTAGGGAAATGGTCGTTCCCCTATAAACCTTTGAGTGAACAAGTTCAACTGGCAGAGCTATTCACTAAAGTGAGAATTCAAAGTGAATTTAACCCCTTAAGGACCAAACTTCTGGAATAAAAGGGAATCATGGCATGTCACACATGTTATGTGTCCTTAAGGGGTTAAAGTCAGTTTCACATTTAAGTATCAGAAATGGAAGCATAGCTAATTTTTTCCATTTTGAAAAGGTTTCCATTTTGGCTACAATGGAATTACTTTGCAGGTTTTGCTTTTAAATTAATGCTGTTTATCTCTCTACTTCTCTTTGTTTTAGTTTTTTTTTAATTCACCTTAGTTTTTTAGTTATATATAAGATAACATAGGGACTACATTTTCTTTTCGGGAGCATGTTCTTTGGCAATGACCAGTGTTTAAAGGGACACTCCAGGCACCCAGACCACTTCTGCCCATTGGAGTGATCTGGGTGCCAAATCCCACTACCTTTAACCCTGCAAGTGTAATTATTGCAGTTTTCATAAACTGCAATATTTACCTTGCAGGGTTAACTCCTCCTCTAGTGGCTGTGTTTATAGCACACTTTCCATATGCTATAGCGTTGCTGGACGTCCTCACGCTATGCGAGGACCTCCAGCGTCGCTGAAATTCCCACAGGAAAGCATTTTTCAATGCTTTCCTATGGGAAGGTCTAATGCACGTGCGTGGCATTGCCGCGCATGTGCATTAGGTCTCCCCCCGCCGGTGTCCGCGCATGCGCAATGGGTCTCCCCGGCTGGATGACGTTGGTGGGGGAGGAGCGTGGCCGGACCCTGAACCAGTGCCGAGGGATATCGGCGCTGGATACAGGTAAGTCACTGAAGGGGTTTTAATGTGACAACCGCAGTTAAAAGAGAGTCCCTTTAACCCCTTAAGGACCAAGCTTCTGGAATAAAATGGAATCATGACATGTCAGACATGTCATGTGTCCATAAGGGGTTAAGCAAACATTAATTTCAGTGGCTAAGCTAATTTACCCACAATTCATCAGTCAAAATTATTCCACAGAAGGCAAACTGCAGTCATCACGGAGAGAGGAGAACAAAATGGAGGTATTAAGCCCAGGTATTAAGATCTGGCACGAGGAAGAAAAGATTATAAATATAAATAAAGGCAAGTGACAAAGAAGGGAATATAATCATTAAGACACAAGAGGCATAAGGAATCAAAAAATGAAAGAAAGAAATAACATGACAGAGCAGCTTTGAATTTAAAATAAACTTTGAATTCACTTTGAATTCTCACTTTAGTGACTAACCCTGTGGGATGTCAGTCCTCCATGAGAGAAACAGAAGCACTTTGACAATATGCTGCATACACTGCATATTAAATTATAACTGGAAATTGTTGGCTAACAATAGAGTTAGCATCAGTGTTTCCTTTCTGCTGTGTATATAACAGTGGAAGAGAATCTGTAACCTTTTTTTAACCCAGACAGTGAATTAAAACCATATCAGTGAATCACATTTCTACTCCCCAGAGATTAGGTACCATTAATAGAAATTTCTCTACTTGGAAATGTGACAACCGCAGTTAAAAGAAACCAAAAGCACTAGAAATATATACAATATATTTTTGCAATCTTTCTATCATATCTCAAATGAGCAAATGTCAAATTGTTGCAAATAAATACATACATTGCAATAATAGTAAACAAAATAATAAAGCAATTATAATAATTAAACGCAGAACGGGTCTTTATTAGAATTTGAACTTTGCAACAGAAACAGGATCCAGCTGGTGTAAATAAACAGCAGTGGCTAACATTTGACCTGACAGGCATTTAGAAGCGAATGGCTTTTTTTTTTGCTCTTGAAACTCACAGATCTGTCAGTGTATAGTCCAACTCTCACGGTACAAGCAATATATGAGTTTGACAGATGGAGGCTGATATAGCTGTGAGGTGTGACATCGTATACCCTTACAACATCCCTCAGTATTACCTGCGCAGCATGGAGAATAGAGAAAGATTATGCATACTGTTTTTCATTTTCCACCATGCACATGTAATGAGCGCCACCAATGGCTTTTCCAGGCCTGGAAAACATTTGAGATTGTGGGTCACCAGCCTAAACACTCCCCAACCCCCACAAAATGTTAAGCTAGCAGAAGCCCTGTACAAATCCTGCCTCGCTCCTGCAGTACTGTGTCAACAGACATTCTTACACACCTCTTGCTGCTCGTTCTCTGCTGAATAATGGTGCGAGGCTGCAGTCTACAACCACCTGCATTCTATGGCGGATGGGTGCAAATGCCAGCCCTGATCGGTGACGTCACCCAGAGGTGTCAACACATATCTGAGGCCTAGAATACCTTGACATAGAAAACTATCCAATAGTCTATTTTGAGGGGGGATGAGACATTTAGCCACACTGCTCCTTTACTGATAGTGTTGCAGATTAAAATTCTCACTCTGGCTGACATAACATTCTAGGTCTTATTTCACTCACCTGGAGAGGCAAGGTGAGTTATCTAAAGACAAGGTGGGAGTTCCCTGGTACCTCTACATGGATAAGTGCCTCAGGTTGTGCACATGTATTTCCTTACATGTGGGCATGCACAGGGACATTCTATGTCTGTATTTAGTTTACATCAGGATTACAGGCAGGCTTCAAGCAACTACATGAGGATATTCCACTTCCTTATTAAAATATACACTTGGCCATAGATTTCACATTTGTTTTTCTGCACCCATGCACCCATCTCACTACTGGTAGCATCCCTGGTTAGGTCTCACCTGGTTCATTTAGTCTTTAACCTGTTATCCTAATGGGCTCATTTGGTTGTTAGTGAATAGACTCCTAGTGTTTGGACATATATGTGCAGTGGACATATACAAAAGAGGCTGAAATGATATCATCAGGGATCTGTTGCCCTGAATTTTAGTGCCACACACACTGCACAGTGTCACTCACATTGTAATTTTTAAATGTAGGGTTTGCTATTAACCTCCATGCAATATAGGATTTTGAAAACAAGGACTACTTCTAATGGTGCACTCACTGATTTTATTGATAACATGAAAACGTATTGTTATTCATATGAAATCAGATCAATGTTTCAACCTTGAACAGTCATATCAATGTGGGCGCACATTAACATAATGTTAATATACAGAGATGTAGTGACCGAT